CCACATATAAGAGGAATTACACAATATTTGTTTTTTTGTGACTAGTTTATTTCTCATAGCATAATGTCTTCAAGGTTCATTGATTTTGTGGCATGTTTCAGAATGTCCTTCCTTTTTAAGGCTGAAAAACAAATACCACATTTTGTTTATCCGTTCATCCATTGATGGACACTTGGGTTGCTTCCCTTTTTTAGCTATTGTGAATAATAACTGCTATGAACATGGGTGTACAAATATGTGTTTGAGTCTGTTTTCAATTCTTTGAGGTATACACTCAGAAGAATTGCTAGATCTTGTGTTTCACTTTTTGAGAAATCACTATATTATTTTCCACAGTGGCTGTACATTTTACATTCCCACCAACAGTGCGCAAGGGTTCCAATTTTTTCACATTCTCACCAATACTTTTATTTTCTGGGTTGTTTTTATTTGTTTATAATAGCCATCTCAATAGGTGTAAGGTGGTATCTCATTCTGGTTTTGATTTGCATTTCTTTCCATTTTCCTGATAGTACTGTTTGCAGCACAAAAGATTTTAATTCTTTTTTTTCCCCCTCTTTAATTCCTCCCCCCGCCCCCCACTTCTACCCCTGACCTATGGATGTTGCCATTTGCCCTTAAGAAGTGGATCTCCAAAGGTGGGGTATCTCCTCTCACATGCTCGCAGTGTGCACCTGGTGCATGTAAAGCAGTCATGTTAACCACTATACTATGGAGCCACCCCCAGAAGATTTTAATTTTAATGGAGTCAAATTTATATGTCTTTTATTGCTTGTACTTTTGGTCTTCTATCTAGAAAACATTGTGTAATCTAGGGTCAGATTTACTCCTTTGTTTCTTCTAAGAGTTTTATAATTTTAGCAGTTACAGTTAGGCCTATGATTCATTTCAAATTAATTTTTGTTTATGGTATAAGGAAGAGTTCCAACTTGATTCTTTTGTAAATGGATATCCACTTGTTCTAGCACCATTTGCTAAAAAGACTATTTTTTCTTAAATTGAATTATCTTGGTGCACTTGTCGAAAAGTAATTGGCCGTAAATGTGAGGGTTTATTTCTGGGCTCTAAATTCTGTTACATTGATCATATGTCCGTCCTTATGCCAGTGCCACACTGCCTTGATAACAGTAATTTTTAAATTGGGAAGATTAAGTCTTTTACCTTTGTTCATTTATTTAAAGATTGTTTGGGGTATTTTGAGTTCCTTGCATTTTCATATGAATTTTAGAATTACCTTGTGAATTTCTGCAAAAAAAAGGCATCTGGCATTTTGGTAGGGATTGCATCGAATCTGTAGATCAGTTTGGGAAATATTGCCGTCTTAACAGTAGTCTTCTGATCCATGAACATTGGATATCTTTCCATTTATGCAGGTCTTCTCTCATTTCTTTCAGCAATGTGTTATAGTTTTCAGAGTATAAGTTTACATTTCTTTTGTTCCATGTATTCCTAAGCTTTATAATCTTTTTTATTCTGCTATAAATGGAAGTTTTCTTAATTTTATTTTCAGATTGTTCATTGCTAGTGTATAAAAATACAAGTGATTTTTTGTACATTGCTCTTATACCCTGCAACCTTGCTGAACTTGTTTATCTCAATAGTTTTTTAGTGGATTTCGTAAGGTTTTCTATAGATAAAATCATAGATAAAATCATAGTCCTCTACCAATACAGATAGTTTTAGTTCCTTTTCAGTCTACCCAGATTTTATTTCTTTTCTTTGCCGAGTTGCCCTGATTAGAACTTCTATACTGTTGAGTAGAAGCAGTGAAAGTGAGTATCTCTGTCTTATTTCTGATCTTAGAGGGAAATAATTCAGTGTTTCACTATCAAATATGATATTAGCTGTAGGTTTTATGCAGATGCCCTTAAACAGATTGGGCAAGTTCCTATCGGTTCCTAATTTGAGTGTTTTTATCATGAAAGAGTATTGGATATCACCAAATGCTTTTTCTGTGCCTACTGAGATGATCATGTGGGGGTTTTTTGTTTGCTTATTTACCCTTATTCTGATATAGTATATTATATTGATTTTCTTATGTTACACCAACCTTGCATTTCTGGGTTAAATCCCACTTGGACATTATATATGATCCTTTTTATATGTAGCTATGTTCAGTTTGCCTGTATTTTGTTGGGGAATTTTGTGTCTGTGTGCATCAAGGATATTGGTCTGTGACTTTCTTTGCTTATAGTGCCTTTGCCTGGTTTTGGTATCAGGGTAATACTGGCTTCATAGAATTAATTGGGAAATTTTACCTCTTTTCTTTTTTTGGAAAAGTTTGTGAAACATTGGTATTAATTTTTCTCTAGATGTTTGGTAGAATTTACCAGTGAAGCCATCTGGGCTTGGACTTTTTATTGTAGAGGAAGGTTTGAAATACTAATTCAATTTTTTTACTTGTTGCATTGTTTCTAACTTGTAGATAATGCAGGCTGCTTATAGACACACACCTGTAAAAGGAGAGGGAATCTGGGAAGAGTGAGTCCAGCAGGAGTTTGCAAATATCGGGGTTTCTAGCTGGCTCTGCTTAGAGCCATGCCCTCTTTGCCCTTTATTATTCCGTGTCTCTTAGAGGAGGAAGTCTTTCTTCTCCCTCCTGAATGAATGCTTTTGAGGTCAGGAACGATAATCTGAGACTGTCTCTTGGACGGAAAAAGTGGTGCATAACTTCACCTGACTCAGGAGGAAGTTAGTATTCTGACCAAGACAGGCAAGAGTAGAAGCTCTCTCAGGCCTCCCTGGGAACCTTCAGGCTGAGTGTGTGTGCGTGTGTGTGTGTTTTGCCTTGCCTCGAATAGTGATAAAAAGTGAAGAGGCCTTAGCTGTTGATATTCCCAGATCATATGTGATATACCACAGTGGACTATCATACAGTCATTTCAAAAATGAGGTGGCTTTCTATGTGCTGATGTGAGATGATTCCAGGATACGTAATTGAGTGAAATGTGCAAAGTAGTTTGTTGCTATATGTTTTAGAAGAAAAAGAATAGAACTTTTAGACGCATACAGGCTGTTAAATCAGAGTACCCTTGGAAGGACACCCGGATAAAAGTTGAGGTAGTTGAAGACTGCACGTGTTTCTCTTGGACAGCCAAGGCACAGCATCTGTGTTCCCATGGAAATAGCTGCCCCTCCAGGCTGTACGTCTCTGCCAAGGGGTGTGCAGCACAGTTCAAACTTCCATATACTCCAAGCCTGCAGTGTTTCTCATTGAGGAGCTGTTCCCTAAATCCGTCTACCTGGGAGAAACTGCTGAGATATCCAAAGCCCTCCAAGGTTAGATATTCCCTTTCGAACACTGTTTCAGCGGCACAGAAATCCTGGCCTATTTTTCCAAGGTGAAAGTCTTTCACTGCCCTCTAGTCTCCTTGTGGACTTCTGGTCAGGCGGCCCCGCAGTAAATCATTTTATTCTTTCTTGGTAGATCAAATCATGGCTGTTCCCCTACACCCTGAATAAGTGAAGGTGCTGGGGAGGTGGAGCAGATGTTGGAAGGCTTTGGACTTGCTAGGCCAAGTGAGCATGCACACTAGCAGCCTTTTCTTTTCTATTGAAAGCTGGCAGAATTGACCAGCAGGAGTGTGTGATTTGGGGAAAATAGTCACTCTTTGTTCCCATCCACATGAATGCTTCCCCTCCTTCACAGGGTCTATTACCTTGGAAGGCCGTGGAGCTTCCCAGCCTGGGCTTCTCGGACCTCAGGTTGGGTTCCAGGCCTCGACGAAGGGCCTCAAACACTGAGGATCCTCCTGTCTCTCCCACAGAGAACACCTTCTGCAGTGGGGACCACGTGTCTTGGCACAGCCCTTTGGATAACAGTGAGTCAAGGATTCAGCACATGCTTCTCACAGAGGACCCGCAGATGCAACCTGTACAGACACCCTTTGGGGTAGTTACCTTCCTTCAGGTGAGGCACAGGTTGGACATGGGCTTGAGCCTTCCTGGGAGAAAGATACTGGGAAGACAGGAGGGCTTGGGTAGAGAAGTGAATGGAACAGGAAATTTTCTATTTTCTCCCATTTTCTGTTCCCTCTGATGGTTTGTCAGCTCAATTCCAATGGTCTGATCTACTCTGCTGAGATGGGAGAAGGAGGAAGGGGAAGGGGCCATTTGGATAGGAGAGAATAGTTGTAGCTGAGGGGGATAACAGGGAGGGTATTTCTGTGAACTAATTGAGACCCAGGCATCCACAGGCACAGGAGCTCCCAGCAGGAAGGCAGCTTTGGGCTGGACTTGCCACTACCCAAAAGGGATGTGCATCCGCCCCAGCTGCACAGGGCTTCCTTGTGATCATGAGGTCTGTGTGAAGTTTAGTTATTTCCCTTGAGATTTACTCAAAGGCTCAGCCCCTGATAAAGAAGGGAGCTTCTCTGCCAGCTGCTGGGGCCCTTTGATCATAGTTCTGAGCTTGGAAGTTCTTAGAATCACCTCTGTTTACATTTCCCATGATCCCAGACTGGGTATGAATGTCTCCCTGGACCTTCACTGCTTCTAAAAGTCATGGGCTGGGAACCCATCCTGAGTTGGCAGGGCCCTGATTTTCTCCTCCACAGTTTAAGGCTAAACTTTGTGTCTGTGGACACCTGACCTATCACAGCAGGGCAAGAATCAGGCCTCAATGCCCCATGTATGGACCCATCCAAAATCCTGGCCAGGCAACTGTTCCCTCCTAAAGGAACCTCCGCATTTTGGATGCCCAGCTCCTGAGCACACACAGATCCTACCTGTGGTCCCGCTACTTGAGGTGACACTGACAGCCTATGTGGCTGACCTTCTGGATGGGTAGGAGGAATGGCCATTAACGCATAATGGAATCTTGTTCCTGGATCTCAGATTGTTGGTGTCTGCACTGAGGAGCTCCATGCAGCCCAGCAGTGGAATGGGCAGGGCATCCTGGAGCTGCTGCGGACGGTGCCTGTGTGAGTAAACCCCTCCCTATTAGGTGGGTGCCTGGCTTTCCAGGCCTGGGGGTGGCAGTCCCTCCCTCCCCCACACTTGGGTTTCCCTTACATTGCTGTTTAGGCACTGGTTTTTCACAGAAGGATTTCCTGGCAACTCACTCCCTGATGGCCCACCACTAACCACTCCTCTGTGTTCCTTGGGGCAGCAAACTGGGCAGGCTAGAGGCCCAGCCCAGACCCTCAATTACCATCCTGTTCCCTTTCTTTGTCCACAGCGCTGGTGGCCCCTGGCTGATAACTGACATGCGGAGGGGAGAGACCATATTTGAGATTGATCCACACCTGCAAGTATGTCTTAAGTGAGGAAAACCTTTCTAGCATACTGTGCCTAGGCCTCTTCCAAATAACATTGGCTTTCATCCTGGGAAAACGGAGGAGCTTTATTTGTGAGTGAGTAGAAGTATGGCATGGTTTAGAACTTGCCCCCTGAATTCTATAGAGCACATAAGGGAGCAGAAATTTCAGGCTAAGAAAACTAGTCTCAGACACATGTGTTTTTGCATTTAAAGGGGATAATTTTATTGTATGCAAGTCATAGATCAATAAACCTGACTTAAAAAAAATAAGATCACCAGCAACTAAGGAAAATCAATATAGTTGCTATTGCTTGCCCAATATTCACCCTCCACTTCCCCCTTCTCATAAGAATGCAGACTTTCTTTCAGGGAGCCACCCCACTGCTGTCACTACCACCCGGTAACAGAGTAGACGATCTTGACCCGACAGCCCAGGTGCAAAGGGGGTGCCCTGATTGGTCTAATGATCTCATCCCCTTTTTAGGTATATTTATATCTTAGGCAGTCAGACACCAAGCTCCTTCCCTGGGTAGGTTGGCATGCCTTGCTGTGTAAAGGAAGTCTTTATACGTACAGGCCTGCGATTGCCCGCTCATTGTGGCCCAGTGGTATAGAATTTCAGTGTTGTCTTTGGTTTCGTAGGAGAAGCACTCTTTTCACTGCAGGTGAATTTTGAAAGCCATATAGAGCATAACTTCCTTTCTTATGGGCTCCTTGTGAAGCAGGAGCGGCAGACACCTAATAATGTGCCCGGCCTGTGTCTGCCTCCTCCTTTCCCCCACCAATTGCAGGTTATTGCCATCACTGAACCTTTTATGTCTCCGTAAAAAATCTGGTAGGCCACAGGCAGCTTCCAGGAGTTACACATCCTCTAGGACGGAAGAGAGGTGGCAGGGGAGAGGTAGCAGCTAGACACATAGCCAGCAGTCTCTGGGTTCTTTACTGCAGGCCTGTGAGTTTTGGGGCAGAAACACTACTCATTCACAAATGATGCTCCTCTGTTTTCCTAGTGTCTTTAACACGAAGTGTTCAAACTGCTGCCTTGATCCTCTGTTTTCTCTACTTTAAATTTGGTTTCCTTGTAGCTTCTGCTTATACAAGATCCAGGAACCATCAAGAGTCTGTTTCCCTAAGTCCCTTGTTCTCTAGCCACTCTGGGATCAATCATGGGACACCGGACTGTTGTTTGGCCCCAGTCATTAAGTGCCAAGTCATTAGGTACTAAGAAAAAACCTGGTCCTTTAAACTAGTAGGGTAAGCAGCCTGTCCTTTCTCTACATGCCAAGAAAAGTTCTCTTCCCAGTCTTAAGGCTCTCCTAAGACCAGCCAGCAGGACCAAGAGCAAGCAGGTATTAGTGAGAAAATCCAGCTTTCTTTCCTGGTGGCTCTGTACACCAAGTGGGGACTCTTTTGTGTTCATTTGTGCTAGTCTAGAGCCTGCTTGCAGGTGGTTCATTTTAGAGCTAGCTCCTGTTCCTTTTCTCCAGGCTCTACCACTAGCTAGCTGTGTGCCTAAGCAAGTCCCTTAACTTCTCTGGGTCTTAACTCTTTACTTTTTTATTCAGCTAATTGAGCCAAGAGGCATCCTCAGCTCTTTGTTTCAGTGAGGAGGCCTCAGGGTGACCAGTGGAGAGAGAAAAGCTCAGGTATACCTTGAGCAAACTAGGGCTCACATGCTTCTGCCTGGAGCACAGAGCTTCCCCCTGTCATCAGCCTCTCCCTGTCACTGCTCAGAATCCCATCTTTACCCAGGCTAATGGTAGCACTGGAAAGGAGGAGAGTATGATTGATGGGAAGGAGGCATCCAGGGCAGGGCCTGGTCTCAAGAAATAAGGACCTTATGTGGATTTACCTTGTGCTTTCCTAGAAAGGCCCCCTGGCTGACCCACAGGCCAATTTAGTGCCTGTGGCGGCCTGTAGAGAAGGGCAGGCAGACAGGGAGGTGCGAACACTCTTATTAAGGAGCTCACTCAGGACCTTTATTTGGCCCACATGGCTGTTTATGAACTAGGTTGCTAGAGCCTTCCAGATAATCTTTAATCTAAAGCTCAACATCACAGAACTATGTTTTACCAGAAATCCCAGGGATATTTGGGTATAATTTTCCTTGAGGCCATTGGGTGAGGTCATTTGGAGAGTGTTTGGACTCAACAGTGCCGAGGTCTACACGAAGGCAGGGCCTCTGGTGGGGTCTTCAGATGGTCACTGCCCTCTAGGCCACCATTTTATTCTAAGAAATGTAAAAGAAACTTCATCCAGAGTCCTTTGCCAAACAAGTTAGCAATGTAGGCAGCCCTGCCCTTCTGCTCTGGTGGCGCTTCATTGTGTGACTACACCCCCTGCTGTCACAAGAAGAAACTGCAGGCATGGAGGCGGGGAGAAGTTGGTCTGGCCTCTCCCACCCGTGTTAGGCTTCCCCCCATCCTCTGTGGCAGCAACTGGCCGGTTCATCCTGGGGTTTTGAAGGACTTTGCCTTTCCTCAGGAAAGTAGTTCCTGGTTCTGCCACGTCAGCAGCGCAGGCCAGTGTCAGATGCATGGAGTTGTGGCTCCAAAACAGGTGTGAGGGTTGATGATAGAGGAGAAGCTTCCCTGGGATTTTCATTCTTCCTTTCATTCGTCGCCTAGTCCCTGGACACCCTGAAGGAGCCCAGTGGCTGGCAGAGACTGTCATGCATTATAACCAGGGCAGAACAAGATCAGAGATCCTGCTCTTCTAGCACTTGTCCCATGTTCAGAACCTACAAAGGACAAGACGGAAAGATGGTGGTGACCTTAGGCCACCGGTTCGCTGAAGGAACTCTGGCTCTTTGGTTCTTTCCAAGCAGGAGAGAGTTGACAAAGGCATTGAGACGGACGGCTCCAATCTAAGCGGCGTCAGTGCCAAGTGTGCCTGGGATGACCTGAGCCAGCCCCCTGAGGATGACGAGGACAGCCGGAGCATTTGCATTGGCACACAGCCCCGGCGGCTCTCTGGCAAAGGTGGGAACCGTCACCTGTCCTTTCTCCTTCTCTTTCCCCAGACCTGGTTTTCAAGCTCTATAAGGTGGATCTCTAACATAAACAGCCCATTCAATAGTTTCTATCCTGGCAGGATTAAACAGCTTGAGAAGTCTTCCAGGAGGGCGGAATTAAGGGAGCTTTATTGGCCCATTTCTCCTGTGTTTCCTGTGTGTATTTCAAATGCACCACCAGCGGTGACTGTTGTGTTTTAGATTTACCCTTTGCAATCTGAGGTCATGGAGGTAAGTGGAAGCCATAGGACAGTTACAGGGAAAGGCCACAGTCCACCCAAGAACAAGAGAATGAGCATTGGCCACTCACAGAATTGACACAGGGCCTAGCTCTGGCCTGAAAGCCATGCCAGACACGAGGATCACTCTGGCCTCAGGCCTTCCCAGGCCTTAGAGAAGAAAGGCCTGAGTGTGAGACCAGCTTGCGAACTTCCCTGCCCCACCGTCCTGCAGATGCAGTGTAAGCAGCCATAGACAGGGGACCCTATACTTGCCGCATTCCAGGTGGGGCCTTGGAGGAGGAGGATATGGCTCTCTTGTTGGAAGCTCACCATGTTGGTCTTGGCTGTAGAAACAATTGTGGTTTTTAACAAAGGGCATCTATAACTAACTCCAAAAGAAAAGCAGCTGTTTACTTCTATGTATATTTACTGCTTCTCTTTCTACTTCCTTTCTCTATTCCTCTATCTTTTCTTATTCTTTAAAGAATATGATGCCTACAGTCCTGAATAAAATACCTACATATGTGATAGCACTTCGAAAAGGTTTTTCTTTCCATAAAGGACAACTTAAACCCCTGGCACAAATATCTGACCTCTTTCCTTCCCACTTGTTCTAATGGTGTGCCGAGCCCATGGAAGGTTCTGAGAGAATGTCTATAGTTATTGGAATCATTTAGTTGCTTTTGACAAAAGAGGTAATTTAAGGAGGGATTCATAGTCTTGTCCAAATTTCACCATTATTGGATTTTTTTAATTATAAAAGTAATCCATGCTACTAAAGTCGAACAGTTAGAAAAGTTAATAATCACCTCCATCATCCACTCAGCCCACCTTTTGAGCAACGAGTGTTAATTTGCTTTTTTGCATGTGTTTGCAGTTTGCAGAAGTAAATCTTAGACCAAAATCTCAAACAGGGAACTAGGCTAGTAGGCTTCACCCAAAGACCAGCAAAGCACCTTGCAAAGAAATAATCCCACCAAGGGACTCCTCTCTCATCTCCTGGCCCTTGCCACACCTGTGGAGAGGTAGGGTATCCTGGGCCAAGGTGGGGAAATGACCTCAGCATCCCACTGATCCAGCTCACAGAGAAGGAGGGCAGGGCTAGATACCAGCTGACCACCCAGAACCCAGAAACAGAGTAAGAGACACCTGCCCATTCATGACAGGCCACTTGCAGTCCTTACATCCATCTCAGTGGTTAGAATCCCTGGCTGGTCTTGGGCAATGGCAAAGGCTTTGGCAGTCACTATCTAGAGCTATGTTAATATTAAAGCTGGGGATGTGATACAGGAAGGGAAAGGACAGGGAGAAGAGCCCTTTCTTAGAGAGTGCCCTTCCGAAGTCCAGAGGCCACCCCTTGTCTTCTACAAGAAGACCAAAAGTTTCTTGAGAACATGGTACCTTACACGCCCTGTGTCCTCATGTTATACTCACTCCATCTCACAGCTGATGCCTAGAGCAGGCTCAGGAGGCCTTCTTGGGAGCCTTTCCCCAGCACATCTGCTG